AGCTGGAGCAATGCAGGCGAGCGACCAGTCATCTCAGAGGGTAACAATGGCAAGGTGCTTTGGGACAATATTGTTTCTCCTCTCTGTCCTTCTTTTCCTTCAGACAGAGCAGACAGGTATGGCCTTTGCTTTGCTGCAGCTTTAATTTTGCTTTGCGCCACTGCTCTTCTAAAACACATGAGTAATTACGTACCTTGTATCACGTTTAGTTTTTGTAGCGCAGGGTGGCATCACTGAAAAACTTCTATTCCTTATTTTTATTACATTTCTCCTGGTTTTTCATGTACCTAAGTTAAAACTACAGTTGGTTACCGAGGCAATATCATTTTGAAATACCATCGTTTACATGAGGGTGCTATTTTGTCTTTACTTATCATTCTTAGAGTGCGCCCCAGGTATTAAAAAACCAATTGTTTCATATTTCTAGTTGCTGTTGAAATGAAAAGAGTCTTATTAAAGAGGCTGAGAAGCACACCTTTTGTAGTTTGCACAAATACGCATTTCTGTGTTAATCTTCTGTGACTTGTCGGAAATAAGGAGGAGCTGAGCGAGAAAGAAAGAAATAGAAAGTGACCGCTTAAGAAAAGTCAAAATGGCCCTTCCAAAAAAAGTGCACTACCAGTTATGCTAGATATATATGAAACACTGCACAACACTGAAATTATATTTAGTGTCAGAATAAATTTTCTATTGCTGCTGTGCCTTTTTCTAATCGTGTTATTGCCGATTAATACAACCTTTGTGCCCAGCAGTTCTAGGACCCCGAATGCTGTATAAAATATGAAACAACAAAGCAGTCGCTGTCCCAATGGGTTTATATTCTAAGTACAGGAGAACGGACAAATACACAGCCGACACACAGAAGCCACGTAAGGGTTAATGCCATAGGCAACAGGTTACAGCCCGGCAGCAGCCACCCTGCTGTCAGGCGACTTTTGTTGTGGGCATCCCTGCCAAGAAGAGCTTTAAGATCTGATAGCTCTATTGTCTTTGCTTTCTCCTCCTCCCTCCTCAAGCCATGGAGTCTTCCCCATAAGGCGTAGTGTATGATATGGTGCTCATAAAAGCTTTTCTGGGCATTGCTGAGGGGGCACCTTTATTTATTTTCCATGAGGCATATTTGACTGAGAACTCAAGACATGCTATGTTCCTCAGCATAAAATCCCCATGAAATCAGACGGAAGAGTGTCAGTTTGGATCCTTCATCACAAATTTATAGTGATAATTTTCACTTCTACTTAAGAGTCTGCAAGCCCCCTGGAGTCTTACATAACAGTCTCTGCCTTTACGGAAATATTTTCCCCTTCCCCTGGCCGTGTCACAACAAGCTGTTTTGTAGGTTCGGTGCAGGGTAAAACTGCAATGGGAAAGGCTGCTGCAGGTAGATACAAAAACTCTTTACATTTACAAGGAATTCTGCAGAAAAGCTCTGCAATGAGTCAGAGCCGAGTACTTTTATTTTTGTGCAGCCTGGGAACACTGGTCAAAGATCGGGACCCCCCTTGTGCTCAGTGCTGTATAAACCAGGGAAAAAGAAAAGACAGAGTCGTGACTCAGAAACTTGGCGTCTTGGTCCTGCCTGGATCAGAGAGCCACGGAGCACAGAACTGAGCAGCAGCAAGGGGGCTGCGCAGGACATCATAGGGCAAGCGTGGGTGCGCGCGTGGGTGCCTGCACACATAGACATGCAACACACACATGTCACAGGACCCAGTCTTAGAGACCTGGAGTTGTAACAAATCCCCTCTGCTTGGGAGCAAGTCAGGCACTCCCAAAAAGGAAAAAAAAAAGGTGCAACAGCTCCGTGACTCTTCAGCGTAGTTTGGGCTAAGGAAGCAGAGCTCTTTCAGGATATACATTTAATGTTGCTGCAGTGCGGGGTTAGCCAAAGGATTTCTCTTCATGATTAAAATTGGCTGCTAGCTAAAATCTTAAACAAAAAAAAGGTGAAAGTAGACAAGGAAACTAATCTAAGTACTTATGTTAGCATTTTGTCATATAACATTTCAGTGTTTATACCCGCTGACGATGCAAACAAAGTTATCAAGAGACACAGGCGGGCCAGTTTCCTACTTTTGGAGGAGGTCCTTCAGGGCAGCTTGGAAAGAGAGTGCCTCGAGGAAAGATGCACGCATGAAGAAGCGAGAGAAGTATTTGAAAATGATGAAATGCTTGTAAGTGTTTTGTTTTCCTGTGTGCGTTCTAAGAATTCCTATCTTGTGTTTTTCACTATCAAATTCAGCCGTGCTGAAGTCCCCGGGGCCTGCTTCCGTTACTTGGCTTTCTCTCCACGTGAAATTGTGGCGCTTGGCACCTCAGCAGGTGGAAAGCAGATGTTTACAGTGGTTAAGAAGGAAAGGTGGAAGCCTGTTGTGACGTGTTGAAAGTCCCCTCCTGAAAATGACCCTGGGTGTCCTGTGGCTTCTGTTGCGAAAGTCTATGGCTGGTTGTGCCATCCTGACCACACGCAGACATATGGCTTCAGTATCCCTTCAGGATCAGGAAGGGCAAAGGGATGCTGGGCTGCAACGCACCAGCGTGAAGCAGGACGGACAGAAAAGAGGAGCTGGCTCTCTCGCTCGGCGGCCGCACGTCTCCTTGTGCAATGGCCCTTCCGAAATGCACGGCCAGACGCTGAGCTCTTAGCGGGAATCTTGCCAGAGATTGTGTTTGCAGGGAAAGACAAGGAAACAGCCATCAGGCTGCCCAAGGGCAGCTGGAGTGTCCTGGGGCCACTGGGAAAGTGAGGAGAGGGAAAAGCGGGACCCGTTAAGCTCATGAACGGTGTAAATCCCGGCAGCTCCCCTCTGTGCTATCACCTCTGCCGCCAGCAGCACCTGCTGGGGGACCAAGCAACAGGGGAAAAGGGATGAAGGAGCCCCAGCGGGAGCGCAGCTGCCGCGAGCGGGGATGCCATCCCTGGCCGCATCCTGTCGCATGTGGGATTTTTTTTACAGTGCCTGCCCTTCTGGCCGCTCGCCCTGAAATGTACCGTCTCACACACACACATACGAATGCTTTCCTAGCATTCATTGTTTTAAAAGGTTGTGGGGACAAAAAGGATTGTGATCTACCCCCCAGGACAACACGAAACACGCTTTCCAGCTTCCTAGCCCGGGGGGGCCAAGCAGGACGGGCTGGGGTCACTTCCCAGGCCAGAGAGAGACTTGCTGGCCAATTTTTCCAGGAAACCGTATTGTTAATGGGTTTGGCGGTTCCTCTCTTGCCTTTAAAGTGTTTTTTCTCTTTAGTAACTTCTCGGCAAACAGTAACATAAGCAGGATTCAAAGTCCCTCCCATTTCATGTCAGTCAAATTTTGCCGGCAGGGCAGAATTTATAGTTGTGTAAACGTTGAACTGTAGTATGCATTCGCTGACAAAATGTTTTTGTTTTAGCACAATATTTATGGAAGAATACATTATTTGAGAATTGAAATATGTTTTCCCCTTTTTTCAGAAAATGTTTTGGGATGCCTATTACGGTAAGCAGGCCTCTTGATTTCTCTTTCCTAACGGTGTCACGCTGTGAGCCTCACGATCGGGTATGATGCAGCTTTTGTGCGAGACTGTAGCAGTTTATTCCACAAGAAACACCCAGGTGCTGCTTGTCATGTCTCCAGTAAAGCAGGAGGAAAAGAGGTGATGTGAAAGGATTTAAAAAGTCATAAATAGGCAAACAATTGAGAGTGCAAAGAGAACAAAAGTTGAAGGGGCTTAGGTGTGAGCACGGTAAGCAGGCTATTGCTTTCCCTGTACTGAAGGTGGTATTAAAATAAGCTGGGTCCGTGCGAACAGAACGTGTAGCTACTTAGGGCTTCACCCCATCTGCCAGCACCGTTCCCACAGCACGGCCCCTGGGTATGAGCCCCCGTGGCAGCCGTGTGCCAGAGCAACGCTAGTTGCAGATCTTTTACTGCATGCGAAAGAGGTATATTTGCCAGTACAAACTGAGCCTTTAAGTGTTTAAGAGATGCCAGAGAAAGCGTGCTTTGCTTAGATATATATATAACACAACAGCATAGCTTTACCAGGAACACTTCCCAAATGCAAGCCTAGCACTTAAACCTGAGCGAGATAAATAGGTGTTAAAAGCTCCTGGGCTGTCTGTAAAGTCTGGTAGATAGCACAGCATCATGCCTTGGCAGCCCCCAAGGCAAGAAGTCCGTCTATAGAGAAAACTGAGAGGCCACTGTAACTAGACGCCTCCTGAACACCGAGAGTGGGCACCAGCTTATGCCTACTATGCCTTATTTCCTCCCTCTTTTCTGCATGCTGCATCCTAAAATTATCTATCTCTTGTTTTTTACTTAAGTTTTATTGATTTCAAACTACTTTTAGAGAGTGAGTAAGGCGGTGGTAAAAACAGCATCTAGCAATAATTTTCTACAGAAACTATTAAAATACTGAGTCCAGGCAACTGTTCCGTAAGAAAATCCCATCTGTGGTTGAAATGTTATGAAGAATCATAGTAAGCATCTGGCCTTGGTTATGTGTTTCGTCACATCTGTGAGGGTGGGATTATTTTCTCCTAATTTCAGCCATCAGCTATTCATGCAAAGATAGTCATACAGGCTTCCTCTGTAGTCTGGGAAGAGAGAAAGGTGACCGACCAGCTGAGGATGGTTCATCCAACCTAGCTTAGTCCCAGTCAGGATGTATTGTTTTCTGCTAGTGCCCAGCTCTCTTTTAATATATATTTTAAAACATTTAGAACTAGAACTCTAAAATCATGTTTCTCAATAGAGTAGGTTGACAGTGATAACTGAAATGATATAATGAAAAATATATTTTTCCCTAGAGCTGGGCCTGAACTCCAGCAAAACTAATGGGAGCTTAACATGATGCCTTCGGTCCATTTTTATTTTTCTTTCAGTCAAATTTGTGACCTGAAAAAATGTTAAAAATTTGGGAATAATTACCATCTTGTAATAGTGGACAGGGACCATTACTGGAACGAGGAAACCCCTAATGCAACTTAAACTACTTAGTATCTGTTCCAAAATAGAACTTTTACCTGAAATGATCTCAAACTCTCTCCACCTTAGTATATGTTTAAAGAAAGAACATATACATAGGTGTGTCTGTGTCTGTGTCTGTGTGATATGTACGTGTGTGTGTGTGTGTGTGTGTGTGTGTCTGTGTATATAAAATATGTGTGTGCATATATATGTATTTATGTGTGTACACACACACACACACACACAAACACACGTGTGCACTCATATAAAAAAAATCTAGAGGAGCGTATCTCCCCTCAGATAACTTAAACGGTCTTAAGGCTATATATAATACAATTAGATAAATCAAAGGGCATTGGCTTTGTATCTGTCTTAATATCCCTAGAAACCTGTCCAGTTTTTGACCCCTTTCTTTTTATAAAGTGCTTGAAAGTTTCAGTTATAGGAAACACATGGGTCGACAAGCTGTGTGTCTGTGTGGCCTAAAACTGAGCAGTATAAAAACTATGCCTGAGAGATGTCTGCCTAACATCCCTACTAAAACTTCTAATGACAGACATTCTGCAACTGCCAAGGGAGCCTGAAAAGTTCCCGTCTATCCTTGCTGGTAGAAACAGATTTTTCATGTTCAGCTGTGGCTTCCCTGTTGCAATTAAAAATCACTGTGGCCTATCCTCTTTCTACAGAAAAGCAGTGTGCATTTCCTTCTTTCTATTATCCTTTCACATGTTTTGAGGAGGGTTGTCATTTGTCTCCATAATTCTCTTCCTCCCGACTAAACAAATACATTTCTTTCATCCTGTCTTCCAAAGTCACGTTTTCCAGACCTCTGATCATACCTGTTGCTTTCTGTCCGTATTCCAGGGTACACAGAGTAAATCTGTACTGCAAATAAAAAAGGGCTGGAGAGAAAGGTTGAACATCAACACCACCTACTTGCTGGCTCACCTTCTGGCTCGAATTTGTGCTGCTCCAAGTTGATCTCTTTGTGGCAAAGCTGACACAGTGCATCTAGCTCTAGTGCGGATATACGCAGTCAGCACCCTTGACCTGGGGCCAGACTTGTCCCTGGCTCTCTTTTATTTACGAGTATGCAGTTAGCCATTGGTAACTTCTCTTTGAACATCATTTTAAAAACAGTCTTGTGCATGCCTCATAGCAGTTTGTGTTTCGCTACCTGGCTTATGACAATATCATATGAAACATTTCTATGGCATTGACTCCCCGCTAGGTCTATAATCCTGTAATAGAATTAAATTTAATTGGTTTGGATTGTTTGATCTTGACAAGTAGATGTTAGTTTTTACTTATCACCCTGGTATTTTTCTGGGTACTAACAAATAGTTTAACTCTTCCACTAGCTTTCCAGTAATGGAAACGAGGCTGATTTCTTTAATTCCTTGAATCTTCCCTTTCCCCCCTTTAATAAAGCTAGGCACTGTGTTTATTTTTTGCTAGTCTCATGGAACCTCACCTGATCCTAGAAATTTCCAAGACTGACTTAGCTGCATTTGAGCATGTGTTTTGGAAGTTTGAAACCATCTAACTTGCCTGAGGCTGTGGACCCCAGCCTTCCCTAGCTCCAGCTTCCCAGCCACTGCTGCTGGAGTTTTTCACACCTCAAGGCTACCTGTTCAGCTGCACTGATTTCCCCCCCCCCCCCCCCCCCCCCTGGCAGACCTAAAGAGTGCAAGGGGTATGCTGGTGGCAGCTGACTGCAGGTGTACTGGAGGAGGTAACTGCTTTAAGCCAGTGTTTTAGCGCAACTAACGCTAAAAGATACACATGTGTTAGCCCAAGCTGATTTTTCTTCCAGTATCAGCCAGAGTTTTAATCTTTCTGCCCCTGATGTTAGTTATGGTAGCCCTCTGACTGAATTAACCTCTTTGATGAAGATTTAAATTTTAGAAAGGTTGGAGTTCGTGTCCCAGGTCGTGCTTTTCCAACTAACGTCTACCATACGCCGTTGTTATTTGGAGAACATTTCCAAACTGCTTTGGAGTCTTTCCAGTAGCCAGCTTAAAGGGAAACTGGTAGCTCAGCCAGTCCTCCACCGGCAGTAGTGAGTCCTCTGGGTTTCAACATCCAGTTCCTCAGGACGATTAAGCTTGCTAGCGTTTAGCTGCTTCACACTAGTTGTACAGCTGTGTAAAAGGCAGATCTCCTCCTAGTTTGTTGCGGTTCACAGTGTAATTTTGAGGCCAGGTTCTCACCCAGTGCATATCAATCTACCCTGTGAGACCTGAAAAGCTCGTCTCACGTTACGTTCTTAAAGAGTGCATGAAGCATAAGGGAGGCCTAAATTCCAGCTTTAGCGTTTTCGATACATTGTTGAAACTGGGCTGAAAAGGGTTTCTTTGAACTTTCAGCATGGGCCGTTAGTGCTGTATCCTTGACAGGGAAAATAGGTACCAGGGTTAGGTTGCTTTTTATTTATTTGAAATATTGGAGAACGCAAGGTGTGGTAATTACACTAATTTAACTGAAATACATATCCTAAATGTCAAGACGAAACCACAGATAGCAGAGGAGAAGGATAACAAAACGAAACTGTAGTGTCACTCAGGACTTTTTTGACAGAAAATCAAGGTTCCAGCTAAATTTTTTACATGCAAGGAAAGACTGTGTTCTTTGGAAAATAAAGACATTTTGGTCAGAAACCAGCTCCCAGAATGCTCACCTTTCCAGACAGGTTGGCAAGATGGGCTGTTTGTAGTGTGTCGCCCCATGTCCCAGTACTCCCAAATAGGCCAGGCTCCAGGCTGCGTTGCCTACAGTTGAAAGCAGTCATTGCTAGACCGAAAGCTAATTGCTGTGACGGTTTGTATTCTGCTTCTACTCTTTGGGGAGCTAATATCATCCGATACAACGACCGTTTCAAAATCTGCCTACACGTGTCAGGTCTGTCCCAGAAGCAGAGCAGCATCTTTCAGAACCACCTTCAGCCTCCGTGCACTTCCCGGCTTCCCTGCTAAGAGCCGCAGGAGTGTATTTGAAAGCAGAAACTCAGGCGAAAATTACTGACACGGAGAAATTCAGTGAGATGTAACACATTTCCTTCCTAACTGTGTGGTTTTTTGTTTTTTTTTTGCAACACTTCTCCGAATGGTTTTCACGCTGGGAGGAGCACGGTGTAGTTCATGTAAGTGGTGGCCACCGCTGACAGTAATTCAGCCCTCTCCTGTGGCATTTCTTCAGATGGCAAGAAGTGCTCTTCAAACCCGTGCCTGCACAACGGCGTGTGTGAAGACAACATTCGCAGTTACACGTGTACCTGTGCAGACGGTTACGAAGGAGAGAACTGTGCTTACGGTAAGGCACCATCTCCTCTTCCGAGAAGTTGAATCTCCTTCTGGAAACTGTACTCATCCATTACAACTAACTATCAGTTTTAGGATAAAACATACAATTCTTGGCAGAGCAGGGGTGATGAGTGCTACTTGTCTTGAAAGCCCCTTGGCAAATCTGCCAAAACGTTGTAATGTCTTAAGGTTACATTGACTTTGTCCCCATTGACCCTCCCTTCCTTTGGCGATGTAGCAAGAGGATTGAAGTGAGTCACTTTTGTGGTTCAGCTCTAAAGGCCCCTGGAGGACAACAATACTGCCGGGCCTCCTTGGCTGCTTGTCCTGCAAAGATGAATAGAGGTGGGCTACCTACCGCCGTCCTGTGGTCCCAGATGCTAAACTGCATTCAGAGCCCAAACTGCCTTCCTGATATGACCTCCTCGTTACACGGGCCTACAAAACAATCTCTCAGGAGAGAGGAGCACAATCATGTGCTAAATGTCTCTTTTATTATTGCAATAATATAAAATATTTTACTCTAAGGATGGTGTATTCATATCTGATTGCATTCTAATTCTCAGTCTGAATACAGTAAAAATGACATTTATTGGGTACTTAATACTCATCCTACTTATAATCCTTTGCCCGTGGAAAAAGATACTAACTTCTGTCCTGCTTCTCTGGTATTTTTGAGTCTGTAGCTTCCTAATATTATCTTAACTAAACCTAAGTTGACCGAAGTATCTTGTAATATTTACAGATGCTAAACTACAATTCATAATCTTACCCCATTCTACGTCTAATGGATATCACACATTTCCTATATTGTCTAGTACTAATTACTATACCTAGGCCAATTAGAAGTGTTAGAACTAAATGATAGATCTACAAAAATCAGGGCTCTCTACAACCCCTTAAGACATGGGATGCAAAACAAACTACACCAAAACTGCAGCTTCTTTTTTCCTTTAGTCATTTCTTTAGTCATTTTAGAGTGAAAAAAAAAAACCAACCCTTCATTCTTACTCCAGTTTACTCAGAAAACATACCCCAACTTTTGCCAGAGCAAGAAAAGGGTAAAATCTGCTTAGATCCGCTTCAGAACACAAACCTTTGTGAGCAGAAATGTAAAAGGGCTAAAACAAAACAGACACATTCTGGCACTTCAAACGCACTGGCCCGGACCGTATGTTTTTACATCTGCCAGGTTTCGCTTTCCAGCACTTACGTCAGTATTTCTGCCTGCTTGGAGGTCCCCTGGGATGGGGGACGCCCTGGCTGCTGTAAGGCAGTGTCATTTTCTGCATACAGGGTGTGACTGGACAGGCGCAGACCAACTTCTCGGGGAGCACAGAGGGTGACACAGCTTGGAGTAGTGCTGGGAACCAGATCTGCTCAGTGCGAGCCTGAGGGAGCCACTTTAAGCTGTTTTTTTGCTACTTCTCCACCTGTGGGCTGGATACACCACCAAAGGTGGTCTTCCTCCTGCTGCTTTGGGCTGAAGCTTAAGTGTTTGCTCAGCTATGGAAAATTAAAATGACTGACCATGTTTCAAAGGTGATGAGCGCTCCCTTTTTTTTATAACGGCAGCTGTTAATTTTAATTTTCTTGGCATAAGCATGAGAAAAAAGAGCTTTGCATTTGCTTTCACTGAAAAGCAGACCACTTTAGCTTTTTTTTTTTTTCCCCAAGCAATACTTGTCTTCGTAAAAAGTGCAGTAGTTCCTCCCTCTCCCCCTGCCCCCCACCAGTGCAGCTACTTGGTGCTTTGTTCAAACGAGTCCAAAGAAATCCCACGGCATCTTTCACAGGGAAGGTCTAGTTGACCCTTGGCTACTGATGTTCTCCAAAACTCAGAGACGCAGTCTGGTCCAGGGAGGTACTAGGTGAGCACAGTTTGCAGGGAGTCTGGGGAAATTGCAAAGGCTCAGCTGTCTCCAATTTCTCCCTAACAAGGGGAGAAACAACGTGGTGGGAAATACTACCACAACCACATAAAGAGTCCCAACCCAGCCCCAAACACAGTGAGTAAACATTAAACACTTAGTAAAGAGGACTCAAGCTATGCAAGAAAACTCCAGCTGAATTGTTCCCAATGCTTTGTCTCTGCTTGTTCCGTTTAGCTAAAAATGAATGCCAACACCAAGCAAAAGGAGGATGTCACCATTTCTGCTACCCAGGAACTACATCATACCGTTGCTCCTGTGCTGATGGCTATGAGCTTGGGAAGGACAAGAAGCAATGCATCGCATTAGGTAGGTGTGGGCATGGAAGTGCAGAGGGCAGACACTCAGTACTTAGGTGGGCAGGCAATGAATCAGACATCAAGACATGCAATTCAACCTGCTTGGAGAAACAAGCTACGAGAACCTCATTGACCTCCTAGACTGGGCAGCAAAAAGTGGAATCTAAGGGCCACCAGCAAAGACGCCTGAGCAGTGGTGAAAGAAACAATATTTGATCTGAACATCTAAATGCGGGTCCGCAGAGAGCACTTGCATTATCTTACGTATCACTCACTGGGCTACGTTTTCCACTCTACCTCCGCTCTCAGTAACGAGCGACTCCACTGTAGACTCATCTGTTTGGGAACGAAACATCATTCCCAATTGATTCAGATTAAGCACCTGAAGACCTGATAAATGAAGGGCAGCATTTGCTGCTATGTTAATTAAAGTAGTAGCCCTTTTCTTTTTTTTCGAGACTCATACTAAGTCCATTTACAAACTAGGTCTGCTGTAAAAACCTGGGAGCATACTTAGGCCCTGCCTATATTAGCAAATAAGGCAGTACAACAAGAGGGCAGCTGTAAGGCAACACCTTCGGTGATGAAGATCTGATGTCCATACTAAACGTGCATTTCAGGTGGGTTTTACTTCAGACTAGCTCTGGTTTGGTCCTGTGGACTAAGCACCCATTAGGTGTGAGAGTGCATTAAGTATGCTCCTGGAGCACATCTTCGGGTTTAGCTTCACCTGAAAAGGATCCAGTTTTTGTGACCCAAGTCCATGCCACAAAGTGAACAGAAAGTGTGATTAGCGCAGCTAATTGGGAGATCTACTTCAAAAGCTTGCTCTCGGTCTGAACTAGAGCACAAAGGTACGTGCACCCCCAGAATGACGGCTCTGAAAGGGAAATCCCAGGCTTCCTTTGCCCAGATCAGGCCACAGCTCTCAGGCATTCAGAGGGATTCTGGTACAGAATACAAAGATGAGAAAGCAACCAGTGCTGATGCTCATCTAATTGCTACAGACACAGCGAAATCCAGTCACCACAATCCTAATGCAATGCCCCAAACCGTTCCGCACCATCACTAAGCTATTAGACTACAGAGGCTGAGCAAGTTATTCTGATTTTCATCAGCTGAGAAGGTTGTGTTTCCCCTCCGTCCTGGTGCAAAAATTCAACCGTAGAGCCAATGTGGAAGCAATAAAATATCTGCAGACAACGATGGTCTTGGAATGATTCAGCACGAGGTTTTGACTTTTTTATTCTTTTGCTAGATCAGTGTGCATGTGGCACAATTCAAGGCACTGATAATCTGATGAGGATAGGTGAAACCAGGAAGAAGCGTGACAAGAGATTTCCTTGGCAGGTATTTCTGGCAGTTCATGAAACCTATCACCCAACTTCCCCTGGACAGCACTGTTCACTGTCTTTTTGTCTTTTTCTCTGAGGTTCTGTTGCTAAACTCGGAAGGGAAGGGCTTCTGTGGAGGAGTGCTACTGAAAAGTAACTTTGTATTGACAACAGCAGAGTGTGCTCTTCTGCACAGCAATTTCAAGATCAGGGTTGGTGCCGGTAGGTGACCAAACCTATTTTCTCTTTTTGTAGCACATTTTAGTGTTCTCATTTTAAGAGCAGCTTATATAATTTCTGCTGCATAAAAATATTATTATAGGAAACAAAATTTATCGCATTTAAGCATCTTAGTTGAGTAGCTTGAATTAGAAGCATAGCTGTCCTAAACCCCCTCTACAGGCCAAGGAGAGAGACAAGTACCTTTAGAGGGCAATTCAGAACTCCGATGGGCTGACACAGTGCCTAGAGATAGGCAAAAACAGGGGGATTTAGAGGTGTTCTTTTTTCCAAGGGAAAAATGATACTGTTTCACACCAAAATTCACTTCCAGTGTTGGGTAGTTGTACTTCCACTCTGAAAGTACGTGTGCTTCTACACTGCCAAGATATCATTCCTCATTTACTTTTACTGTAGTTGATTATTCCAACAAAAAGCACTTTTAGTTTCTCTATTGCACACATTTCCCAGCACAAACAAGCGGTTCTTACCAGTCTGCACGCAGTTTTCAAGGTTTCTGATAAATTTTTCCTGACAGCAGTGAACATGTTATTGCTTCACAGGGTATAATGGAACAAATGGAACTGAGAAAATAATGCAAGTTAACAAGAAACACATACACATCCGGTACGATGAAGACACTGGTGAGAATGACATTGCATTACTACAACTCCAAGAAAACATTGAGTGCAACAAACACCAGCGTCCTGTATGCATTCCTGAGCGAGATTTTGCAGAACACATTTTGATTCCAAAACTGGCTGGTACAGTCAGTGGCTGGAAAATGGATGGTGATGAACTTAGAGGTGAAGAGTTGCTGGTTTCATACCTTCCTACTGAGGACTGCAAGCAAATACTCAACATAAGCCTCACAAACAGGCAGTTTTGTGGGCACCACCAGGAGCCCATAGACAAGCAACTGGCTGGAGGAGGCTTCATTGCCACCAAGTACAAGGGCACTTGGTTTTTGACAGGTATCCTGGGATCTTGGCCACTAGAAGACAGTGACTGGAAGACATTTCTATTCACCAACACTGCAAGGTATATGATATGGTTCAAACAAAAAATGAAGTAAGACACAAACGCAACCAACCCTCCACCACCAAACTCCTACTGATGGCTGCAAGGAACACTTGCAGGCAGCCTGTAGATCAGTTTGACTCTGTCACAATATGCAGCAATGGAAATTGCAATAATACTGTAAATATTTAACTCCAACTCACACAAAAAAGGCCCGTGTTTGTCTATCCTTTCTCTGTTGACACACAGTACTGTGAAAATTATGACGTGGTAAACCTAGTTATTTTACTGCAAAAAAGACTACACTTTTACTTTCCTATTACAGTTCATCCTCAAACTCAAGAAGTTTTGACAGTTTTCTGGACTTTTCTAGAAGGAAATGAGTCATCTTAATCCTTATTAGCCTAAGGCCTGCTTCATCATATACATATTCTTATTTCAGCACCTGTACAAGTAATACTTACTAAGCCCAGGGGAACTCCAAGCCTTTAAACATGTATGCTGATGTGGAACTTGACCCTTATATCACACTGAAAAATACTTCTCTCTCATATGTGGTGGCTCTATGTTCCCTTAGAAATTATGTCCACTTCAGTTAGTTGGTAAAATAGGAAGAAATTAAGACATAAATAAAACCAGACCCCCACAGAGGGGAAAAAACAAGTTTTTATTTTGTTAAAAACAAACAAACAAAAAAACCATCATCATAGGCCAAGTTATGTTGTACCAAAAAAAAAAAAAAGGAATAAACACTTAAAATAATGGACCCAGTAGCAGTCTCTTCCCTAGAAACAGAACAAAGTGGTGAAGAGAGAAACTATTTAGCTATGTCCTTGTTGATCATGATGAAAATTAAACAAAATGTTACAGGAGTTACAACAAAAAAAAAAAAGAAAAAGAAAAAAAAGCTATTTCTGAGGACCTCCAAAGAAACATCCCACAATTACTTAAACCTGTAAGTTTCACTGACACAGTAAAGATCCCGGTGTCAAGCACAAAATCTCCAGTTTTTAGAGAAGGCCTGAAGAGAGTTCTCCTCCATTCCATTATTGGAGAGACTAAAAAAATAAAAAAAAAAAATGAAACATCATTTCCACCCTGAAAAATGGATTAGCCTAAGTACCAGAGGACAATACTTCTTTTTTCAGAAAGATAAACGCAGAAATAGTAACATAAAGCATTTTTTATAAAACCTTTCAATTACTTTAGAAGGAATTCTCAATGCTCTGCTTTTATTTCCTGGTGAGATACTTTAAATGATCTAAAAAGCCTGCGGAAATCATCATTAAAGAGCGAGCATTTCATTCCAACGCACTTTGTTACACTGGCAGCCTTGGCCATTCTGGGAAAGGAGCCACAGACAGTTCCTGGTATTGCAGTACTGGACACGAACCAGGTTGTTTACAGTGTTCTCTGGGTGATTAGGAGCAGCTGAGACGTACTTGCATGGATAAGATGCAATACTCAACACACTGTTGACAGCGGAGGGAATGGGTTTTGCTTACTGACCACAAGCTTTTGGTGTTGATGAGATATGTACCCTTTAATATGACCCTGGCAGGAGAAAAAGATTGTGTTAGTAAGCGAAGCTGGTAACACAGTTCCTGTAGTTCAGCTGTCTTCAGACTAAATCAAGCAAAGCTATGGCTGTATACTCAATCACCACTGCACTTATTACCTATATTAAAAAAAAAAAACCACACACACAAACAAACTTATATAAGTCAGTCTGCTCACGTGATAGGCAGAAAGTTGGAACCTTAAAAATATACATGAACTAACGCTGTTAGAGCCCGTTGCCAGAGCCCCCTACTGGTCACTTTACATTTCCTTGAAGAGACAAAACTCAACTGTTAATTAAAACAGTAATTTTAAAGTGAGCAAACGTAAATTTAAAATTAACTGCTATTCCAAATCAAACTAAATGACAGATTTCTTCCTTTTCAGACATGTAGCGTTTTAGTACTGAAAGAGATCTTCCAGTCTCTCAATCCCACCCTCTGTTATTGCAAGAACATACCACATCGTTTGTCTAAGAAATGAAAAGCAGTTCATTTCTTGCTGCCACTGCAGTGCTACTCCAAAACCTCGGATTTATTTAAAACTTCTTGATGTCAAGCCTGTATCTGCCCATGAATAGTTTAGACCCATTTAGAGCAAAAGGCAAAATGCAAAACAACTAGAAAAAAAAAAAAATCACGTTTTGAATTCTTCTGACATTAGAATGTCAAGGGTCTCTTACTTCAAATGCAGAAGAACAATTCCCTTTCTTGTCCCAGGTATAATTTTCGTATTTTGAAATAAATATTCCTGCATATTTAGAAAGGTTACTACAGGATTAGTGATGAAAATTCAACCGCAGCCTTAAACGGTTCCTGAAAAAGAGGAAGGAACTAGAGGAATTCCCCATGGCAAATGAAAACATTTGCACTTTGGGCCCAAGTGAATTGACTACTACACGCACACGAAAACCTTAGATTTAGCTATATGGATCTGAGATATTTCTGTAATAAACTTTCATTCTCTCTAATACTTTTTACTGACTGCAGTTTGCAAGGACCAAATAGCTAGTGGGCAACACATACCATATATATAAGGTTAGCTAAAATGCACTGAACTTCATCAATATCAACATCATCCACTTGCATGAATTTCAGGGCAAACAGAAAGGCATCTAACGATAGCTGGTGGGTTTTGAGAAGTAAATATCTGAAAAAAAAGAACCAACAGGAAAAAAAGATCTGTTACTGAGGAACAATCACTTAAAAACTCCAGTTCTTATTAAAATGGCCTCTCTACAGTAAATTCAGTTTGATTCGAAACCTGGCCTCTTGGAGACAACTAAGTAACATACACACTTCTATCTCAATCCTAGGTAAAAATCATAATAAATCTGCTTTTGCAAAAAACATAGCTTGTTACGCTTACACTTTCTTAAAGAGATTTCTGTAGGTAATGATTTTCAGCTTCTCCAGGATAAGAAAAATTCCACATCGAATGAAGAACGTCTCATGCTTTGTCAGAGCATCATTCAACAGGAGAAGATTGCCTTCACTACAAGGATGGAAGAAATAAAAACCATGAGAAGGTCCGACTCTTCCAAGGAAAAAACAAACAAACAAACAAACCACCCTGACTTGATAGGAATATTCTTCTCTCTCAGTCATTCCAAATAAATACCCTTTAAGTAACACTTTTTTGAACTAACAGATATAGTACAATAAAACAATCACCATACCTCACAGCTTTTGTTACTTCAGCAAACTGCATAAGGTCATACTTTTTTAAGAGCTGAATTGTTGGCATATGGCCCTGAAAAATAAACGGCTTCTAAGTTTTCCAGAATAAAGTCAAATGCATTTTAAATTAAATCTATAAAAACGTTTGTCAGAGAAACAGGAAATATTCAACTACTTTTTTTTTTTTTTGCTACAGAACAAGAAGTGAATAGAAGTATTGTAAGACATGCCCCCCCCCAAGCAAACGTCCTGTAACCCAGCTCATGATAATTACATGTATATCTTGGTTTGAGGAGTCTCTTAATATTTCTAGCTATTGGGGAAACAGTTCTCAAACTTGTAAAATCAAGATGCTGTGACACAAGGCCTAAGCTGATGCAAACTGTACGCTATGACTGTATGATCTAATTTGCAAACAAAAGAACAGCTGGAATCTCAGGCACTACTAATCATACAAGCAGAGCTTCAGCACAGTTCAGTGCTAGCTCAGTCTGTATCAGATTATTTTTTCCACTGTGCCTCCACAGGGAGATACAAATGTCCTCTCTTACAAAAAAGAAAGTTGAAATTTCAAGAAAAAGAATGGATTCTCACTGTTAGATAAGGTAAGACTCTGAATCATGTGCACTATCAAGAAGAAACTTAGTTTTTTCCCCTCCCTGCACAGCAGAGATCAGATTGCACACTGACTCGGTCAGACTTTAAATTTAGTCACCATCATCCTATGTTGCTGGTAACCCCTTTCCTGGTTGGAGGATTATCAGAGAGCAGAACTCAAGTGCATGTTTACTCAGAGCTGCTAGGAATAAAAAAAACCACCCAAGCCATTTTAGTACCTTTTAAGGTTCATGGTAATGCTTGGAGCCCGGTTAAAAAAAGTAACCGTGAAAACAATGACCTTTACCTGGATTCTTTAGGGCCTCGAGTACACTAGAACTGCTCCACAAGAGCCACAGTAGGCTCTAAAGGACCCAGCACTGTGGGGCACCCAGTCAAAAGGGGAAAAGTTTACAGGAAGGCTGTTAGCTTTGCTTTGTTGACCCCTACCACTGATTGATTTGAAGACAACTATTAAGACAGACAGTAAGTAAAAATGAAAAACAGAATCCAATTATCATACCCACTACACTCTCCCTTTCCCCACCAGAGGTTTCTGTCACCAAAATGCAGCTGCAGAGCAGTAACTGAATTGACACTGCAGGAGACTGAAAAGGGAGCACAGAAGAAAAAAGGGAGGATGGTCACAAACAAGTTGGAGCAGAAGTGGAAGATGGAAACTCTCAAAAGTAGATGATAAAAACATTCTCCACGGGGAGCAGAATCACTTTGCTAATAGGGCCAGGAATAGAAAACACTCTAAAATCTTGTTCTTGTCCCCTCAGCTACACTGAATTAAATTTGTAATCACAGTAACTGAGGGAAAACAAAAACGCCATCACAAAAGATGGGGAAGGACGGGAACTAAAAGCGGAGATGCACTTAATTCTTTTAAAAAAAAAAGATAAAATGTACACCAGTCTTCATTGATTTGTTCAGTGATCAAAACCAAAATGCTCTACTTGGTGGCACTTCTGATGTGCCTCAAACAGATAAGCAGACAAGGTGCAATTAGAAAGTCCAAAGTTGAGGGTCCTTTCTTTCCTGTGGCAAATGTGCCTCAACAGTCTTCAGCAAACTACTTGCACATCCTCTTTACCCTCACCAGATGAAAGAAACGGACAGATTTGTACTAGTGAACCACACATTCCTTGGCCCTTCTGTGCACAGCTGACCACAAGGCAGGCACTCCACTACATGACATGAGTTACACTGCTAAGTTGTTCCAACTTTGAGCTGTTTGGAGAAGCACCCATCTTTATTACATAGGTAACTTCAGGTTCTCCTTTTGAGAGGAGTGGGAGAAAGATGGGGGAAGGAGTTAGTGTTTGTTCCTCCCTTTTCCTACTTTGCATGTAAGTGACAAGTCAACATTTTCTGTCTCCAGCTGTACAAAACACTGTATATGATGACTCTTACACGGGTCAGGCACATACAGCCTCCGAATACCAATAAGGGGGGGAAAAAAAAGCTGATACTCAGTATGGCTCATCTGCCCCCAAAAAGTTCATTTGGAAGAGTAACATCTACTCACCAACAACATTTTTACTGGCAATAGGTAGATCAAAATCATTCTCTTGTTTTTCTGGCTTGAGCGGTGACAGTGCTCAAAAGCAAATGACAGGTACTCTTCAGCTGCAGACACAAATAAAAATACCGCTAGTAACAAGAGTCAACAGCAAAACTGATTAAAACTACAAGCCAAATTCCGTGCTTAACGTCCATTTCTAGGCTGAGCCTATGACATTTTAAATGATGTAAGAAAGAAGCAAGCCAACCAAAACACATTAAGAAAATATTGTAAAAATTACTAGTGAATCACATCAAAGAGAGCATCACCAGAAAAATGAGTTCTTCAGAAAGAGGAAGGAAACATGTCAATGTCTAGATGCCAAATGTAACAGTT